CGGTTGTTGGACTGGATGTCAGTGACTCGGGTTTCTGTTCTGGCTCAGGCACCACCAGGCTTAGCAGAAGCCAGGTCACTTCCCTTCTGTTTTCCATCTGTGAAAAGGTGGGGGTCCCTTCCGGGGGGGAGGGGCATCTCAGGATCACCTTCCTCACCGGGTCCCTGGGCCGCCATTGGTGGAATGGGGAGCATGACAGGTGGAGTAACAGCCCCAGGTGGGCAGCTGGGACACACCCTCTGGGCCAATCTGAGTAAACCTCCGCGTGTGCCTGAGGCCTCCTGTCTAATGTCTAATGAGATCCCAGTATGGATGTGAAAAGTCAAACACACCTACTGCCAATCTTCTTTTAATTTAAAATTTTGCATGTGGCCCTAACTGGTTTGGCTCAATGGATAGAGCATTGGCCTGGGCACTCAAGGGTCCCAGGTTTGATTCCGGTCAAGGGCATGTACCTTGGTTGCAGGCACATACCCAATAGGGAGTGTGCAGGAGGCAGCTGATCGATGTTTCTCTCTCATCGATGTTTCTAACTCTCTATCCCTCTCCCTTCCTCTCTGTAAGAAATCAATAAAATATATTTTAAAAAAAATTTTGCATGTGGACACTATTGCAGATGTCCTCCATTTCTCCGCCTTTGCCCACCTCCATCCAGCCCCCACCCTCCCCCTTTGGGCCCTCCCCACACTGTTGTCTGTGTCCCTGGCTACACATGTATGTTCTCTAGCCATCCCTTCACCTTCCTTTATCAGTCCTTCTTCTCCCCCCCCTCGCCCCGCTTCATCCCTCTGAAATTTGTCAATCTGTTCCGGGTATCCACGCCTCTGGTTCTTTTTTGTTCATCAGTATATTTTGTTCCTTAGATTCCACCTACTAGTGAGATCATATGGTAAAAAGTTTGCTCTGAATGGCTTAATTTGCTTAACATAATAATTTCCAGAGTTCCTTCTTTTTTACAGCTGAGTAGTATTCCATGGTGTACATGCTACTATAGTTGTTTTGTCCACTCATCTACTGATGGGCACTTGGGCTGTTCCCAGATTTGGGCTATTGTAAATAGCGCTGCTCCGAACATAGGGGTGCATGTATTCATTCTGATTGGTGTTTCAAGATTCTTAGGATATAGTCCCCGAAGTGGAATCACAGGTCAAAGGGCAATTCCATTCTAAATTTCTTGAGGAAACTCCGTACTCTTTTCCGCAGTAGCTGTACCAGTCTGCATTCCCATACCTCCTTCCCATCTTTGTTTCCCTGCCAGCAAGCCAAGCTCTCAGCCTCAAAGTACTCATTTGTAAAATAATAATAACAATATTCCCCACCTGTAAAAATAGGAGGGGGGATCCCTTCCTGGGAGGGGCCTTCGAATTTAATGAAAGTATTGTTATTACTGGCATTATAAGCACTTACTATTGTCTCAGATACAAAGTGCTTGCCATGCCCTGTTTCAGTAAATCCTCACAACAGCTAGATGAATTAGATGCTCCTACACCCATTTTCTGGGTGTGGAAAACGAGGGGCTGAGAGGTGAAGTAAGCAGTAGACTCCTGGGAGAGGGGAACGTGAATGCCTATCTCCATCAGCTGGAATGGTCCGTGGCAGCAGCAGCGATGGGGCAGCCCCTCTGTAAAGGGCCACTTCCTCTGCCCTCGGGCTTGGCGGGCACGCAGTTCCGTGCTCTAAGGCTCTCTGGGTTGGGGGGAAGGGATGCTGTGCGTTGTTGGGGGAAGAAGAGATTCCAAGTCTCCATATCAGACTCAGACCTGCGGTCCTCGTTGTGTCCCCC